GGGGTGGGGAAACACCGACTGCATTTCTGCCAACAATCCAGGGGGATTTGGGCTGCGACCTTCGGGACTCTGCCTCCCAGCCCTGGAACGTTGCCCGGCTCAAGGAACACAGCGGCTCTCCCAAGGAAGAATTCCCTGCAGGAAACAACTGAACCACATCAGCCCTCACCAGCGTGTGGGTGCTGCCCGGAATGATCCCGGGATTCCGGGAGCTGCTGCGTGAATGGCTTTCCAAGAGCACCCAGCATTTTGCACCCACCTACAACGTGTCACATCCCCAAACCAGGAGGCGGCAGACAACTCGGGCTCCTCAGGAAGAGACAACTGGGGACTGCTGTGTACCTGCTTACCATTTTTGGGGGTTAGGCTCTGATCTCCACTCTGGGCAGACCGCTGCACAGACTTCCACATGGAAACACAATATCCCCCTCCTGCACCCCGCTTTCTAATCAGTCACCGGCATCAGCAAGGAAGACAACGGGAGGCAGAGAAAGGAGGAGAAAAATCCAAGCTCTCAGATCTGTGCAGATGGCAGGAAACTTCAAGTCATGCCCCTTGGGGAACACAGTGAAATACTGATGGGTTAAATAGAAAAGGTCAATGCAAAAGCGCAGGTCCTATCTAGTACTGAATTCCGGGTTGCACAAGCCTGAAGTTCTAAGGACTACTTATAAGTAAAAACACGGTTGTTGCCGGGTGCTATCGGTCAATTCCGACTCACAGAGACCCCATGTGACACAGTAAACTGCCCCAGATGGTTTGCGAGGTTGTAATCTTTATGGGAGCAGATCACCTGGTTTTTCTCCTGCGCAGCTGCTCGGTGGCCTTGAACTGCTAATCTTCTGGTCAGCAACCCAGTGCTTAAGTGCTGTGCCATGAAAGCTCCCCCGTAAACACACAAACAAAGCCCCAACTCATAGCCATCTAGTTGATCCTGATACATAGAGACACCTTTGGGTTTCTGAGGTGGTAAGTCTTTATGCAAGTAGATTGCTCCATCTTCCTTCCGTGGATCAGCTGGTGGGTTTGAACCACCAACCCTTTGGTTAGTAGTCAGATGCCTTAGGCACCATGCCAGCAGAGCTCCTTTTCCTTAGCAAAAACACTAACCAAAAAACAAACGCACTGCTATTGAGTTGATTCTGACTCTTAGCAACTTGACAGGACAGAGTAGATCTGTCCCATAGGGTTTCTAAGGCTGTAAATATGGAAGCAGACTGCCTCATCTTTCTCCCATGGGGCAGCTGGTGGGTTCGAACTGCTGACCTTTTGGTTAGCAACCCAGTGCTTGAACCACAGCAGCACAAAACATTCTATCTGGTAGCTTATATCCTCCTGCCTGCCCTCATGCAGAATGGAATGAGGCTGCCATTGTGGAATTTAACAGTGGACAAGCTCACAGAACCCACAGGTCGGAGCTCAGAGTGTGAACCAAGTGCATCATGGGTAGTGTGGTACAATGGGAAGAGCAACAGGCAGAGGAAAAACTGCTTCTCAGATGCCCCTGGGGCCAGGAGGGCAACGTGTGTGTGACGCCACCTCAGTGTATGAGAAAAACAGACACAGAGCAGCGGTGGCTGGCAGAGGAGGCTGGACTCAGGGGCCACGGGCAGTGCAGTGGGGCCTCTGGGGGCAGGGCCAGTGTATTCAACTCCAGGCATGCGTGGGTGTGTGGGGAAGCAGGTGTGGCCGAGGCTTCTGATTCTCCAGAGGCGCTTGCCATTCTGAACTTCTACCTGACATCTCCTTATTTTTTGAGGTTGGCACTGATTACAAATAGGAAACACAAACAAACACAAAACGCGCTCAGTAAAGACAGGTTGGAGAGTCAGGCCAACGCACGCTAGGGGTTTGGGCACCGAACAGCCCAGGGCCACAGACCTGGCCTCCATGCGCCGGGTGGGGGACCCTGGGCTCGGCCAGGCAGCCTCTCTGAGCTTCGGTCCTCCTTGGTACTGGGAAAACCTTACAGAACTTCCATTTCATTGGCAACTTCTGCTTGATTAGCTGGAGATATGGTGCCTGCTTAATAGTGAGGGAAGACCAGGTGAAGTGAAGAAGGCAGGACACAGGCCGGTGCAGACAGCGCTGTTGCCAGTGGCCATTGAGCCGGCTCCAATGCACGGCCACCCTGTGTGCAGCGGGGCGACACACTGCTGGCCCCGCACCATCCACCCAACGGACCGCGGTCCAGACCGTCACGATCCACTGGGTTCTCTCTCTGATGTTCAGAAGAAGATCCTCAGGGCTTTCTTCCTCGCGACCGATAAATGCTGCTTGTTGTTCAGTGGCCTCTGAGTAGACTCTGACTCACGGCGACCCACGTGTGCACAGCCGACCTGCTCCGTAGGGTTTACCTTTCGGAAACAGATCTCCAGAGCTGTCCTCTGGGTGGGTTCAAACCGCCAACCTTTTGGCTAGTAACTGAGCACTTAACCAACTGGGTCACCCGGGGACGCCCCAATAAATGGTTCGCTATCCTCATTAACCAAGTCCATTATGTTCAGTTACCACAAAGGCCCGTTAGGATCCTGCATCAACATTTTAAAGAACCGAGGAAAACCTGCCAAGATTATAGGAATAATTACACTTTCAGGGCTTATTTCCTTAGCCAAGAGAGATCTTTACTTTTTTTCAATTAGAAATCTCTCGGGGTGAGCTTTGGAGCTGACATCCAGGATCGCTGTTCTCTGGGGTCACAGACAGGAAATTTTCAAGTGTGACTTGCCAGCCAGGGTAAACCTTGGCTGCAGCCTGTCTCCCCTTAGGCCAAAATGCAACAATGTCTGCAGATTCCAAATTCCACCCAGTGAGAGCAGCTTGCTCAAAAAGGAGAAAAATGGGCTGAGGGCAGCTTATTTTGAAACCGTGAGGAAGCCAAAGGAACAAGGGACTTTGTTTCAACTCAGGTCTAGACTGAAGTAGAGTCAAAATTCCAGTATCAATATTGTGTCATCTGCTATTCCCTGCTGTATTTTTTAGGCCCTGAGCAACTGTATCTTACATGCTTCATGCCAATGAGGTGAGCTGACCAACAGGTGCTGGGGCAGCTGCGACCACACAACAAGCAGAGATGTTCACGTCAACAGACAGTTTTACATTTGGACAGAAGAATGTCTGGTACGCGCTCCAGCCACGGACATGTGAACCATGCGAGCCGGAAGTGGGCCAGGTCCATGCCTGTGCGTGTGGCACTGTGTTGTCCTCAAACCTGTGCACTTGGGCGGCAGCGGGTCAGGGTCAAATCTCTAAAGCAGTTCTCAATGGGGAGTTTAGCCAGAACGCCTATGACACGGGGAGGCTCACCTGTCTCAGCCTACAGCCAGCAAGGCCTCCTCTCCCGAACCTTCAGAAGATCAAGACCAGGGCCCCTGCATCACTGAAAACTTGGAAAAGTTTTCTGTGTAGTGTTGCCTATTTGGAAAAAGGTATCCTTTGCCATGGGCTGGATGCTATAATCACATCTTTTCACAAACGCACTGAAGGAGTTAGGGAACACAACCAATCAGGAGGGAGAGACAGCCTGCAACGTGGGGCTGGTCAGAGGTCCACCTGGAAATGCTGCTACAGGTGATGCCAAAGGCACGTCCCACTGAGAGACGCAGAAGCATCATAGATTCCCCGTCAGAATAACACAGACCCCCAAACCTTCAGAGACCTCTGGGAACAAGGAAAAGGACTCCTACTTTAATCAGCAAATCACACAACCCAGCGTTTCTTGAGTGATGCAGTCTGACCTCTCTGTCGGGCAGGCATAGTTCTGTGTGTAGATCTTCTGATTAAGATGATGTTATTTCAGAAATACTGTGAGTATTCTATAGCACTTGAGGACCCCATGAAGATCTAGGACAACTGTGTCATTTCAGCTCCCCCTCCAAGGACGGAACTGTCCCGGGCCAGTAATGAGCAAACAGAATGGACTGGGAAGCAATGAGATGCTGACACCAGTGAGGGCCACCTGCCCCAAGGTACTGCACAAATACAGGATTCCCCTCAACGTGACCAGAGCACAGAGGTGGGATGAGTCAGCACCCGGACACACTGGGGAAAGCAAAGGGGCCTGCCCACGTGGCCACGAGGAAGACAGGGCCTCAGAAAACCTGACAGCCACGAACATCCAGTGTGTAAACTGACTGCTCTGGACCTGCAGCATAACCAGGTGTGGGCAGTGGGTCCGGGAAGGTATTAACCATCAACACGTGATCAGCCTGGGGTGAGGGGGTCTAATCCAGTCCGAGTGATGCCCATAAAGGAGAAGAGACACGGATACCCAGGGTGGAAGACGACCATGTGAAGACCCGTCTATAAGCCAAGGAATGCCAGAAAATGCCTGGGGCTACCAGAAACTGGAAGAGAGAAGAAAAGATCTCGCCCTACAAGTGAATACCACCTGTAGTTGGACTTCCAGCCTCCAGAACTGAGACAGTAAGTTCCTGTTGCTTAACGCTCCCACCGTGTGGTATTTTGTTTTGACAGCCCTGGGAAACTGAGGCAGTTTTTTTTTTAAATTTTGATAAGAGATATGAGAACAAGGAATTTATATCTAGTTTTAAGTGTGTTCGTATTTAAGCAACATTAATATGCAAATACTTTGTCAGCACTGGTGAGAGGCTGTGAGAATTTTCCTTTTGACTCATTACCCAGGCTTGAGAGACAGCGATGCAGGGACCCTCAGTTTTAGCTTTGGAACAGCTGTGAGCAGTCTGGAAGACAAACCATTCCCTTGATCAAAGTGTACACAAGTCTGAAACCGCACAGCCCTGTGTCATGGGCAGCCCTCCAGGCAACAACACTCCCTGCAGCCTTGCTCCCTCTCGAGCCCTTTGGGACCACATTGTGCTGGGGTCACACTCTGTTCTGTGTCTTTAAGAGCTCCACAAGCATGTGAGGTCTCCACACAGAGACCTTGCGGCCCCTAACCACAGAGAGACGGAAGGAGGGAGGGCGGGAGGCTAGCTCAGCGGCCTGGCCACGGCTCACCCGCACCACAGAGCACTTACAGAAAGAAGGGAATCAGCTGCATGAGCGTCTCCTTTCGGGGGCTGGCCGTAAACTCGGGGACCACCTGGATGACTTTGTTCATGACGCTTCGCAGGTAACTCTGGAGCTGCTTCCGCCGTTCCTCCACAAACTTGGCATCCTGGGGAGACAGGAAAGCATGGGCATTCAGGCCTCTCATGTCCAAAGACAAACGAGCCCACAGAATGTGCAGCTGTCTATCGTCACAAGAGCGCCATTGGCTGAGTGACAGCCTCCAAGTGATCTGCACACAGAATTGCACTTAACACTAGAAACAGAGGACAAGTAGGTCCGTAAAACCACACACACACACACACACACACACACACACACGCCACTCCCCTTTTTAGGAGCTGGTGTTTGGCAGGCTTAATGAGCGTGTGTGTTGAATGAATGAATGACTGTAATGCTTTAATAGTCATTTGCAGACTAGAGAGAAACAGCCCTAGGCTCTGTGGCTGAGATTCATTGAGCATCTACAACATACCAGGTGTGCTGATGGGCACTAGTGGTGGAACAGAGCACAGACTGTCACCGTGCAGCCCTGTGGACGTCACAGGTCAGCGGGAGAGACACAGATAACCCAGTGGCCACGTCAGTCATTGTATGAAAACGATTCATCACACTAGACGCCAGCCTTGGGAGAGGCTGACTTTTGCTTCAACAGCACTTTAGAAATTTGAACCAGCTGCCACTGTTTAAAAAAGAAATATTAATAAACAGATTTGAGCCATCTCCTGAGAAGCTAGAAGGTGTGGTAGCACAGCCGGCCCCTGGGCCACACCAGGCCAGGGCTGCACAGAGTGGCCCTGAAGGGAGGCCTGGGTACCCAGGACCCGGCAGTCAGTACCCTCTGAGCCCTGGCCACCTCACCGCATGGGCAGGGCCGGCTTCTTGTCGAGCATAGGAGCCAGCACTTGGCTGGACGCTGTTAGCCAATCTTTGAACAAGGGACCTGTGTTCTCCTGTTGTCCAGGCCCTGCAGATCATGGACAAGACCCTGCCGTGGTGGGCCCTGGCCATCCAGCGAGGGGACCAGGAGAGGCAGCTGGGCAGCAGGCATGCTCCTTTGATGAATGACAGAGGGTGGGGAGTGTGTGGGGGGTGTGTAGCTTCATCTCCTCCTCACAGGACACAAGCAGGAAGGCACCCTGAGCAACTGAGGAGACTGAGGCCCAGAGAGGTGGCAGGCAACCCACCCAGGAGGCCCCACAGGTGGGAGGGGCCCTCACTCAGCCCTGCTCCCTGGGGCCATGCAGCCAGCCTGCGGCAGGACTCTGAGAATTTGAGGACAGTCACTAAACCCAGACGACTGGAGGCCACGTGCTCAGACAGCACCTAGAACCCACCCGGAGTGTGCCCGTTTCTGACGACATTCTCACAGTGCCCCGCGAGGACCGAGCATGGCCACGGCTTCTTTCTCAAGTGGTGCCTTGGATGTGAGAGGTGCCAGGCTTGGCAGATGAAACATAGGCCGGCCAGGTAAATGCAAATTTCAGATAAGCACGGCCCCTGCAACAAAGCCTCTTGATGAGGTATCTGGGACACACGTTCACTGAAGTCTTCATTGCGGATCTGAAGTTCACACTTAACAGGTGCTCTTTGCTGTATCCAACAGTTCTCCTCAAAGCACCAGGGGGGAGGAAGGCATCGCACACCTGTCCCATTGGTGGCCCCTCAGGGCGACTCCAAGGTCACCGCAATGCACCCTCATGCCACCCCATAAGCTGCTTCCACATGGACCTGCTTCAGGGGGCAGCACCTGGCCACTGCTGCTGGCCACCCCAATGTAACCGCCAGCGCAGCCCAAGGCCAGGGGCCAAGATCCCACCCAGCCTGTCTGCAGGCTAGATTCTGCTCCTTGGTCTCAAAGGGCGGGCCCACCATTAGGCCGTTAGAGGCTCCTTTTTGGAAGGGTGGTTAATATTCCAGGTTAGTGCTCAGTGGAGCTAATCAAGCCATGTTTTTAATCTGTACAAGAAACAAGGAGGGCTTGAGAGGCTCTGTGCTGAAGGCCAGAAAGGAGAAAGTTCAGCCTTGGGAGAACTTCAGGAGACTTTGCCTTTCTGGGGGAGGTGGGGATGCTCAAACGCTCTAGGACAACGAGGAGAGACTGACAGTGTCCCTCATGCTGTGTGGGGCCTGGCTGGGCTACAGAACCCAAGGAAAGTGAGGGCCCCTAAATGAGGTCAGAGGATTCTACCTGTTATGGATCGAGTTGTGTGCCCCAAAATTATGCATTGTAAATCCTACTGAGCAGCTCTGGTGGCAGTGCCTAAGGCATTTGACTGCTAACCAGAAGGCTGGCAGTTCAAACCCACCAGCTGCTCCGCAGAAGGAAGATGGAGCAATCTACTTCAGTAAACATTTACTGCCTTGGAAACCCAATGCGGGTCATTATGAGTCAGAATGGACTCAATGGCAGTGAGCTTTTTTGGGCAAGTACTACTCTCCACATGGTTATACTCCCATTGGGGAACAGGGGTTTCTGTGCTAAGTTAACGAGGCAGTACCAGTGTATGGTGTGTCTTAAGTCAGTCTCTTAGGAGATACAAAAGGAACAGATTAAGCAAGGAAGCGGAGTCGGGGGAAGCCACAGGAAGACTGTCAAGGAGGCAGGGACCAAGGACCTACCCCCAGAGCCAACAGACAGAACCCGCCTGCAGAGCCAGTGCCCTGCATTCAGACCTCCTCCTAAACTGTGCGAGAATACATTCTGTGTGTGGAAGCCCCCACTCTGGCATTTGTTATAGCTGCCCGAGATGAAAAAGACCCCTGGTGTGAGTCCCATCTGCCCATCATTGGTCGAATACAGCCCCTCCTCCCACCAGGTCCCACAGGCAACAGTGACTCCACCAGGGAGTAGGTATCACCCAGTGGGATTCCAAATCCTTCCCACGTGCTCATTCCATGTGACAGTCAGTCCCGGAAAACCCCAGCCACCCTATTCTGTGTGTGGTGTATTGGAAATGTGCCTTTCTTCTTTCAAGCACGGGCCGGCTGAGAGCTTGGCTATGGCTAATGTAGAAGGGAGGCCAATTCCACCATCCTGGGATGTGGGGAATGAGCTCACTCCATGGCCAAGTACCTGCAAACCCATGAACTTGGCTTTAGAACAAGTGTGATGCCTCGCTTGCAACAGCAGTGCCTGAGCCAGTTTCTGGGAGGACCATTAGGCAACTGCTAATTGGGAAAAATGAGGAGGACAGCTCCTGTTATTGCCAATTTAAACACTCGCGACAGAGCTAGGGGAGAGCAGTGATGGCCAGGCCCAACAAGCCCTTGGAGCAGCTCCCGAACGTCACAGGAGTCCCTTTTCTAAGCGTCTGATGGGGTCTTTTCAGCCAAGCTACAGAAAACACATTCACCTGATTAGCTCAGTATGAAAGAGCCAATTTAGAAAAGGAAACCGTCCTAATCTCTGCATTGGGAACTGCCTCCACACAGTCATAGGGCAGGGCCTCGTATTCACATCTGGGCCAGGCAGCTGGGTAGCACCTGGCTGAGGGATTTAAACAAGCTGCTCTTTTTCTAGTTTGATCATCAGTTGCTGGAACTTGTCAGGTGTGAATGAAAGGACGGAAGGGTGTGGACTGTATCTGGAGCCCCTTCAGGAGGGGAGAGGAGGAGTGGAAGGTCGAGATGTGACTTGGTGAGGATTCCTGCCCATAAGCCTTGACGGACATCCGCTAGCTTCCAGGCCAGAGCCATTGCCTCCTCCTGAGGGGCCGAAGGAAGCAAGGTTAGTTCTTCTACCCTAGCGACTCATCTCTACCACCACTTAGGACGATACTGTCAGTCAACAGAAAAATGGTGACAGATGGGAAAGTAGCCTCCCCCATGGAGGCCAGAGTCTCCCTCTACTCTGAGTCCATAGGCATTACTCAGTTATCTGCCTGGGAGGACAGTGATGGGACATCCCTCTGTACCAGGCCCTCTAAGTTGAGAAGGTAAGACCTAGTGCTGGCCTACGCACTCACAGTCGACCGTTGACTCATTCATACATTCAAACCTTCACAGGTGCTGGAGAGCAGAATCTTACTCATCCATCCACACTTCTACCAGGCGACTGGCTTGTCACCCCGGGGCCTGTGATGTGAAGGAGCTGGAGAAGGCGAACAGCACAGACCCTGCACCCATGCAGGTCATGGTCAAAGACCCATGCAGGTCTTTGTTCTTCCAACAAGGTCTCCAAGGGGCTAGTGTGCTCGGGGCCACAAGGTGACAGGACCAAGTCACCAGTGGTGATGGAGAGACAGGTAAATCACGAACAAGACTGGGGGTGGGACAGAGGAAGGGCTTTGAAAGCACGAGGTGGGTTCCCTCGTGGGGAGAATGGGAAGCAGGAAACTCTCTCAGCCTTGTCCTTGACCATGGGTAGTACTTCGAGGATGGTGACAGGCAGAAAGGGCGTTTAGGTGGAAGGAGTGCAGGGCTGGACGAGGGACTAGAGAGTTGGGAGAGATGCTGTCAGGGCAGGGAATGAGGAACGGGTGCCCCTGGACTGGCTGGTGCCTGGGAGCATCGTTCAGTCTGGACCAAAGCAGGGAGATGAGCCAGGCCCCAGAGAGGGTGCAAAGGTCAGGAGATGTCAGGTCAGAGGGCGAGCGAGCAGTGAGATGCTCGTCTGGGGTCAAGGCTCAGGAAGGAAGAGGAAGGAGGGGACACTCGTCTGGGGTCAAGGCTTAGGAAGGAAGAGGAAGGAGGGAACAGTTTGATGCCCTCCATGTCACAGTGCTGTGTTTCACGAGTTACATGTTTTTTTCCTGGTGACGTCCTGTGAAGCTGGAACCACTACCCTCATTTCACAGCTGCGGAAAATGAGGTACAGAGAGATGAACGGTCTTTCCCAAGGTCACACAGTTGAGTGGTGGAGCCAGGATTTGAACCCAGGCAGCCTGGCACCAGAGCCCGTGCTCTTACCTGTCATGCTGCCTCCTGGGAATCATGCTGAGCCCCAATTGAGTTAGGGAAACTGAGGCACAGCGGGCTAAGTGATATGCCCATACTCACAGAGCTCCTCAGAGGGAGCTCTGGCAACAGCCCAGGCCTATCTCCCTTCCCACCATGGAGCCCACACTCTCAGCCATCTTGCTGGGGTTCAAAGTCCCACCATGACAC